CTGTGAACACCGTGCAATTTGCAATTTTTTTTTTTTTTTTTTTGTTAACGAGCGAAGAAACAAGTTTATTTTAAAATGTAAATAAACGCGATAACCGCCCCGTTGCGAGAAGTGTGTGAATACTTTGCGGAGATTGCAAATGGGCTTTTGCGGAAATGGTGAAAAATCTACAATAGTCCTGAGAAAAATATCGCGAAGCGCTATTGTTGTGGTTCCGTATTTCAAAAAATATTGAATATTACCGCAGAGAAAAGTACGCGGCGTGTGAAATAAAATCCCTCCCTCTCTCTCCCCCCGTTTTGGTTGATAAATTATATAGTTTTGTGGTCGGACAGATTCGGTCGATAAAAAGAATTGCGACGGGGCACGGATTTCGTTGTCGGTGGTGGTTGGCTACGTCACTTCTCGCGCGCGCGCGAATTACCAACTTCCTCTCCTCTTCGTAAAAAGAATTATATCCCCGAACGATATTGTTATTGCTCTTCCACTTCATTTCACGGCTATACCATTTGTTCGAAATATAAAAGTCGCATTAAAACACGGAACATATAAAAGTAGATAATAATGTTTTATTTATCGAGCCACCGCGATATTACGTTGTATCGTCGGTGACTATATGGAAATAGAACACTCGCTCCGTTCAGTCGGCGAATTCATTCTCGAGCGTTTTCTCTTATACATATATATACTTATATACATATGTACATATATACACATGTTACTTCCGCTCCTTTTACGGCTTTTTTAAATTCAATAAACTTAAAAATGTGATAACGGCGGAATTTTCACAAAACTTTTTATTCCTTCGCTTGTGTGAGATAAAGAGAGAGAAAAATTTCGTTAGCAAACAGCATGTGGTCGCATCCCGTGTTCCACAACTCCCGGCCCTGTTCTATTGCGGATGTTATGGTTTCTCGCGCGTTCAAACATCCAATACATCACTTCGCGGGAGCGGCTAATATTTCTTTTTGATATATTTCTTCCACATAGTTGATCACATAACGTTGAAAAGCAAAAAAAAAAAAAAAAAAAGTATCGCGAGGTACAAAAATACGCGATTAAAACTGGTGTGGTCAAACGGATAATCTCGCTGGGAAAATTGCTTCGCGTCATCTTCTCCGCGAGCGGCGAATTTTCATCTCAACGACGAAATAATTCAGAATCTCGATCTCTCTCTCTCTCTCTCTCTCTCTCTTCTTCGATACATCGCCGCGAGTTATTTTTCTCCGGCGAAAAGTTCGATCCGAGAGTCGGTTCCGCTTTAATCGTGATGTATGGTCCAACTTTACGCTATTAAATCGAATTTACTTATACGTCTCCTCACGTTTTAGGCCGGGGAGTTTTACTAGTTTAAAACTTGCGCCGACACGAGTCTGTGCGAGAGGAGGATGCGTATTTTCCGTTGGAAAGTGGGATCCAATGAATTTATCGGTTTTTTTCGTTAAAGTTACGAGTCTTAGCGGAGCCGAGAGAAGTAATCTCACTGACCTTGCTGCGAGCCGATCGCATTCTGTACTTTTTTCTCTCTCTCTCTCTCTCTTTTCTTTTTTATTACGCGATAATTAACGTTTTTGTTTCTTTTTTTTTTTTGCGCACAACCAACTCGAATAAACGACAGTTCTATTGCGCCTTTCCTTCCTAACTTTAAACGGTTCGATTCGTCAATTTGTCCAAGTGTTTTCGCCTCTCGCGTGTTGTTCCTGCCTTCCAGAAACCGGACGGTTTCACGCTCCATCGCCCGAAGTAATTTCCGTTTTCGAGAGCGAGAAGCTATTCAAAAGTGGTTGTTATTTAATAACATTTCGTTAAAACATCAGTCAGAAAGAGAAGTTCGCGCCTTCCCTACACCATGTAAATCCCCGTGTTCGTTTCCGAGAGCACGTTCCGTGACACGCCAGACCCGATTTGTCGGCCGGGAAAGAGCCGGGGAAGCTCGCGGCGAAAAATCGTTAACTGCCCGTTTCACAGCTAGAAGCTGAAGTTACCGCGACGAATCGAATTTGCTAATAGGGACTCGGGGATTTCTCTCTCTCTCTCTCTCTCTGTCCCCGCGAGAGAGTGCCCGAGGGAATCGATTCGACGCGTGGCGAAGCACGGGAGTTTGTGTCCTGCGGGCCGTTCACGGATCGGAGGCTACGAGGAATGTCACCCGTCGCGTCCCGTGCTGACGAAAAACTGCTCGTTAAAACGCGCGCTCATCAGCTTTCCGCGCGAGAGAGATTCGCGTTTTACGATTAACCGAACGCGCAATATCTGGAAGAGAATATAAGCCGGGGCGGTTCCGAGGCGCTAACGAGGAGCGTGTGTTGCGGCCGAGAACGCCGTGTTTGCGAGCTTTTGTGGGAGAAAGAGAGAGAGAGAGATAAAGAGAGGAGCGGCAGAGGAGCTTGTTTTGAAAAACAAATGTCTGTTCATTTTCATTTGTTTTGTAAGAGATTTTTTCCCGAAGCGCCGCGGGAAACATCTGATGTAACGAGTGTCCGCGGAAGCGCGGCTGACACAAACGGTGTTCGAAAAAAAAGAACACACACACACACAACTTGAATTGATTAAAACGAATATATTGAACATGTTGCATGTTCGTAATTACGTCCGGTGTGCAAGAGCTCGCTTTAAAACGAGGCGAGAGACGGAAATATCGGAATATACACACGGAGACAAATCTCGGGATTAGATCAGCGGAAGAACACACGGAGTGACTTTCGACTTTTGCAAAGATTAGCAATCGAAACTTCGAAGAGAAATCGATTCAAGTTTTCCCTCTCGGCAAAATTCAACGTGCCGAAGAAACTCGTTTGGCAAATTTCAGAAACTGGATCGTTCGATCGAGAAGGAAAGCGAGAATAAAGATAATCGATTATCGAACGTTATCGATCTTATACACCCTCGTTAGACACTGCGGAAACGTGACTACGTGCTTCATTATCATTCGCGGCCGGTTTTACCAGTGTTTACTTAGCAAAAACACCTGTCGGCGTTCGCGGTTGTACTTCCATTCGACGGTGGAACATCGACACCGATCGTTTCGTTCCCGTCGTTCGAGAGAGAGAGATAGAGCGGGGCGATGATCCGACCATTGGGGAACGTTCCCCAATTACCGAAACGCGGCCGATAAAAAGCCGCGGTACTCGTTAAGGCGAATAGTGTCCTGATGCGGCGATGGGGATCGTCGTCGAATAAGAATCGAGCGATGCGAAATCTTGGCCCGGAAAATCCCTACGTTGCACCGAGAGTCACGTCGCATCGTGATTATCGACCGTTCGTGATTTGCAGGACCGAGTTG